TTCATGTATTGTAAAGTTGTGTGAATTTTTCAATAAATTCTTTTGTCAAAACCACTTGCAATCTGATTCATAGCTGAGCGCCTTGCCGCCGGTTACACTAAGAACACGCAGGCTCATAATTGGTTATTTGGAGGTGAATATTTTACGATATTCACCTCTGAATCTCAAAACAAAATGGCATCTGCCGGCAATTGTTTAGCTACAATTTCCGATGAGGAAATTAAATAAATGAAAGTAAATGCCATTCTTATCAATACTAAAAAGGCAACGAAGTATGGCCTAAAAGTTTTGCTAAAAGTTTTGCGTGAATTTGTCACGCAAACTAGAAGTTTCTGTTTGTTTGTTTTTATTGAATTATTGGATATAAAAATAAGTTACTTTGTACACAAGTTGGTATATGCTAAAACAATTATTCGCCTTGGGCTCAGTGAATATGGAGAATATTTACCTCGCTGCTCGAAGACTCGTGTCTCGGGAAATATATCCCCGATATTCACTTTGCCTTAGGCAAATAATTGCTAAATATTTATCTGCTGGATAATTAAGGATTTATCCAGTGGACAGCATAATTATTCAGCCTTCATGCAACCTGCCTCAGATGATTTTCTGGAAGAAATTCAGTCACATGAATTAAATAACTTACAGAAAATATGTTCTTTAAATTCAAGAGTACCTAACTTTTTTTTTATCTGCTTTGCTATTCATCTYGTAAGAACATATTTGCATGTCATTATTTTTTAAACCAGTTTCGTTACATGAAAATCCTAACTTTGCGATTAATCCTGGCCACTAATTTGAACAAACTGAATTATTTCATTTATTTACTATTTACAGACAGGAGATGAGATTCTCAGTGTCAACAACATGATATTAACAGAGGCAACACATGAGGAAGTGGTGAACTTACTAAGATCAAGAAGAACACTTGCCTTGAAAGTCAGAAGTGAGCACTTTCTTTTTATCAAACATGCACTATTGTTCTTAGTTTTAAATTTATTGGTTGTATCATTTTCTCTAATTTTTTTAAACCGTTACCCTTTTTCCTTCCTCACTCAGTGGAGTCGTGTTTTTCCCTATACTAAAACTTGGTTGTGTGTGTGGAGTGGGATTGAGTGAAGTAACATGACGGTAGAGGAAATTACTACTTAGGGAAGCACAGGTGGCATATCTGCTGCTAATATGCACTGCCTCTTACCAATGTGACCAAGGTACGAGCCCTGGCAGGCTTGGTGTCATATGTTAGTTGATTTGTTTGTTGGTTCTCTCCTGTGAGCTGCAAGGGTTTTTTCTCCAGGTTCTCCAGTTTTTCCTCCCTCCATAAAATTAAATATCTAAATTCTAATTTGATATATCAGATGCCTTACCAATTGGGTTGCAAAACCTGTAAGGCATTAAGCTGTCCATCATCCAGGTCTGGTAAATGCAATAGATTTTTTAATACTCTCCCCCAGACTCTGTGTGACCAAAACAGTGGGGGGGGGGGGGGGGGGAACTTTACTGAGTTAGGAGGAAAAAGAGGGACTGTTAACAGTCTATAATTTTTTCCCATTTCAAACGTTTTTGGAATATTACATCCTTTATTTGTCTTGAAAGTCAATATGCACTTTATTTCCTCAAAAACACACAATTCTTATTTGAACTGTTGCCCATCATTTAATGGACATGTTTGGGGTTCGAAATAATGTTTTTCCATACAGTATTTTAATTTTTTAAGATGCATAACTTGCATTAAATCTTGTGATCAATCTTAAAAGGGCTGAAAAACTATCAGCAGTTATGGGTTAAATCTCAGGCTCATTCACCTGCTTCCTTTATGAAATGCCCATTGGTTTCCTAAAATCAGCTACTAAAGGGCAAAAGTTTAGCTCATTTCTCGAAAGTTAACAGAAATTTATGTTTTATTTCAGGCACGGGCAAAGTTCCTTGTAAAATGTAAGGGTTCCATGTAAACTAAACAGCTTAATGTCATACTGTAGTCAGTGTTGTTTACATGTGACTGTACTATACAGGTGTTGTATATATAATAATGTTGGACATGCCTTGGCTGACATTTGAGCAACAGTCGACCAACACTTATTGGTAGATTATAAAGGTCTTTCCTTCCTTCCTTCCTTCCTTCCTTCCTTCCTCCCTCACTCACTCCCTCCATCCTTTCTTTCTTCCTTCCTTCCTTCCTTCCTTCCTTCCCTTCTTTCTTTCTTTCTAACTGCCTGCCTCAATTTCTGCATCTGTGTGTATCTATCTTTCTTTACTGCTGACTGTATGTTTATATCTTAGGTGTAGTTGTCTACCTGTCAACATTTTGTTTGCCTTTTGCCTTAAAACCAAAGCTTTCGTTGTTTCAGACATGATCTTGTTAGATGGGAAGAGGTAGAAGACAAGGAGAATGTGTATTATCATCCTGATCTATTGGTAATCAGTGATATTTGTTAATTATTACAAATGATCAATATGCAGCAGCTGCATGGCATCACCTATCTTGCCTTACCTCAGAGGGACTGACAACAATCCTCTATAATATGTGAACTTCATGAACTGATAAAAATGTTATCTGATTAAAAAAACTTGCAGATAATACACAAGGGCGGATCCAGGGGGGGCAAAGAGGGGCTGAAGGCCCCCTTTCAGCAGAAAAAAACGATGCTTTTTTATATTGTTTTCCGTTGTGCATGTTGATGGATGAAACTCAATTAGCCCCCCCTAAACTCAATTAGCGCCCTCTAAACTCAATTAGCCCCCCCAAACTCAATTAGCCCC